AGTTCCCTACATACTAGGACACTAGAGCTCACTAGCAGACTAAAGTAAGACTAAATGAGAATGATATGTAACTGTTTCAATTTGCCTACAGATTCAATTTAATATATTCCAATGCTACAAACCTTTCTTCCACTGTTATGAGCATCTTCAATAATTTTCTTCACCTCATCTGCATAAGCACTGGCTGGGTCTTCATGGTCTTCTCTATACTTCCCTCTGTAAGTATCTGGAGGTGGTGCCTGAAAACAATGGTGCAGTTTCTCATTATGCACGTCTGACAAAGCAGTGAAAAAAGAAATAAAGGGCATTTCCCTCCAGAGGTATACTAGAAAGGTGACCTTGGAGGTTTAGATGACCCTAGCTTCTTTTATTGCTCTTTTACCCTTAAAATTTCTTGATTTATCTGAAGAAGTGAAGTTTATGTATTGTGAAAAAGAGCTTGGGTTCACTCTTAATAATTTTTGAAGCAAAGACAACATCCCTATTGAAATAGAACATTTACATCAATAAGTGTGATTTATTTTATCTGAAATTACTGGAAATTGTCTTAACTAGTTTAAATTAAAAATAAAACATTTGTCACCTAGATTGCAACTTATAATTAAAAACCTAACCAATGACTTAGCACTGTTTCTAAATCTTAATGACAAAAAGGCAGTTGTTGTTGTTGTTATATACTTTCAAGTTGGAACCCACTCATAGTTGACCCTCCAGGGGATTTTCAGAAGCTGTAAATCACAGGGGAGGAGGCTGCCCATCTTTATCCTGCAGAGCAGCTGATGGATTCATACCCTGTGCCTTTGAGTTGGCAGTATAACTCTTTACCACTAAGCCACTACAGCTCCCTTAAGAAAGACTACTGATGTTTAATGAATATAAACTCATTAAATAAGTTGCACCATTTCAAAAATTGGTTGGTTCCTTTATTTTACATAATAAATTTTTATAATAATTTATCATCACTCACTCACACACCCATTCACTCACTCACTTGCAGCTGGTTGGTTCTGATCCACAGTAATTCTCCATTGGAAATAGAGTCTGCAATCATCAGAACAGAAAGAGACTGCTGATCTTTCTTCTGTAGAACCACTAGTGGATTTAAGCTACTTGAGACCTCTGAACTCAGAAACTCCCTAGTCATTTAGCATAGAACAATTCCATCTTAAGAGTGTCATCTACACTCAATTCAAATTCCTTATGGTTTCATTTCAATGGAAATGTTGGACCAGTTTCAGTATGCATTCTTACAGTGATAATGCGATTATAAAATTTGAAGGTATTTACCACATGTACAAATTCTTTCTTGGCGTCTTTCCCCTTTTGGAATTTATATGGACTGATCTCGATTAAGGATGATAGATGGCCATGATAAGCACTGTAACCAAAAAGACGAGTAAATATCATAGTCACTCAAGGAAAGATACTCTCTAGTACATGAAGATTCCATTGCATAAGACCCAGGAAGAATCTCAACACTGATGCCAGGTTTAGCTAGACTGAATCTCATGTTTTAAGATAAGAGTTACCATTTTAATGTGTATAGTTCTCCTTATATGTAAAACAAAAGATATGAAAGTCCAAGTATATGATCTCATAGCAATACCTTTTTAGCAGGAAAATAAAGAGGCAACTAGTTTCTTTGGATTATGTTACTATCCTCATAGCATCTATTGCCAACAAGTTAATGCCAACTTACAGTGACCCTGCACCAGGTTTTTGAGGCTGTAAATCTTTATGGGAGAAGATTTCCTGACTTTTTCCTACAGAATGGCTGGTGGATTGGAACCAATGTCCTTTCCATTAGCAGCTCAATTGGTTGCACCCTGTGCCACCAAGGGCCCTTATGTTAGATCTGCTAAACCAGATTGTGAAAAAAAGTCTTTTCTATATATTCATGAAAAGTTTTGTGTTTAAATGCCTTTGATAGTTATACTCTTAGCCCAATTTTTACAAACATCATTTAATCATAGATGGGACATGTGTTTCTGTTTTGATGATTTCTTAAAGCATGCACAATTGCAAATACTGGATCCATACTAGTTGAAAAGGAGATTTCTTAAGGAACAATTAAGATTCTTTCTAAGTCATAATTATAAACCGTGAAAGAATGAGTTTCTGGACCTGGGAGCTCAGAATCAGAGCTGTGGAGAATATCAAGAGTCTACAAGAGTCTAAAAAGACAAGTGTCCCACATCCTATTTGAGTGATAGTAACAGGAGCATTAAAAATCTGTGATCAGCAGTCTATGGTGAAGCTACTGATCTCCTAGAATTTAGGGCAAAGAAGAGTGAGGAAAATCGAAGTATTAATGGGCCACATGAGCTTCAGACTTCATGAAGAACTAGATAGTGCCTGGTCCCACTGCTTACTGCTGTGAATGAGATAAAAATTGATGTGGGAGAAAAATATAGGATAAAAGAATAAAACTCAAATCATTAAAAAAAAAAAGGATAAGGCTTACTTGTTTGATAGAGAATGGCAGAAACCCAGAGACCATGGCCCATAGGCAGCTCTTGAGCCCGGAACTAAAATCATCCACGTGACTTGACTTTTAATTCAAGAATGAACAATAAGCAACAGTTAAGGTTCCAACCCTTGAGAAATGACATAATGCTGAGAGAAGTGGAAGGTCAGAGAAGAAAAGAAGATCTTCAACACAATGGATTGATATGGTGACAGCGTAGGATGGGGCAAGGGTTCAATCTGTTGTTCATAGAATTGCTGTGAGTTATAGAGAGAGCTCGGCTGGCCTAGTGGATAGCAAGTTATGCTACCAAGCCAAAGGTGAGTGAATTTAATCTGCAGTCCTCGGCCTGGTATTAATTGGTTTTGGTCAAACATTCTTCTAAGCGGTATAGCACTGGTCTGTCTATTTGCTGTACAGAGGTACTCGTGGTTGCTGTGATCCTGCTGTGTCAAATGTGATAATGGTTACCCATGGTGGACAGTGTTTGTTGGAGCTTGGAAAACAGGCTTGAAAGCAGGAGTGGCTTTCACATCTGAAATAGCTTTCCTCCAAAAACTCTAGGAACTTAGAGAAACAATGAAAGTTATACAAGTGTTCAGATCTTTCATTCATAGGGTCACTAAGAGTTGTCTATGACTTGACGGCACCTAACAACAACAGAGAAGCTTAGTGGTAAGGAGTTGAGCTGCCAGTGCAAAGGAAATTGGTTCAAATCCACCAGCTGCTCTGCTAGGAGAAAAATGGGCAATCTTCTCCCATGTAGTTTGTTGTGTACCATTGAGTTGAAATAGACTCATAGCTGAAAATTCATTAGAGGGTCAGTTATGACTTGGTTCCAGTGCAATGGTACAAGCCAACCAACAACATCGGTGATCTACCACAACTGGAAGCAATGCATTCTTTAAAACAATCAGCCATACATGATCAGAAAGGCAGCATTCATCCAGGAATAATACTCAGAAGCCAGTGAGGGATATGAACATGGAAACAAAAACATAGGGAGAAAGTGAGAAGAGAGCTGTTACAATGAGGGGATTGTAGTCAATATCCTTAAATAGAATGTGCATATATTGTTGATGGAAAATAAATTTCTCCTGAAAACCTTCACTTAAACCACAACAAAAAAGTTAAGGGGGAAAAAAAATAAAGATTGAGAGATGACCAATTGACTATTAAATTCTTTGTCTTCTTTTTTCCATGTAAAGTATAGGTGTTTTACAGTCTTTTTTTTTCTGTGAGATATTAACTAGGAGGTCTGGGGAGTTTACAAAAGGTCCATTAGTATGTAAAACAAAGAGAAGGACCTGCCCTGTAAAATGTGAAGACCTACTATAGTGATAAAACTAATCTGGTATTGAAAAAAAGAGAAAAAAAGGGATCATTAGAACAGAAGGATAACTAAGAGAAACATTCACACATAAATGTAAGCCAAATAGATTTAAGGTGGATTCAATGTGGAAACTACAGAACAATTTCACTGATTTCACATGCAAGCAAGATTTTACTGAAAATTATCCAAAAACGACTGGAACAGCACATCAACAGAGAAC